CTAATGCAGTGTATTAGGCATACGATTTATCCTTTAAAGCTTTGTGTCTTACACTATCACATAGTTCTGCAACGTTTGCAAGTGATGTACCTGCAGTTCAGGCAGCGACACTCTGGCCCCGTTGCTTCTCTGCTAGTTGCATTATATTGTGTTAAGAACTAATATAATTTGCCTGCTACACTTTAGTGTGCTTGAATCACTGCCTGTGTTGTTGAAGCATTAGTCGGAAACAATAAAGATTATGGCCTAGGTAAAAAAAACCTGCAGAGAGGACCAGTGGTTCAAAGAAAGCTCTTATCCAAATTGACTGACACACTTATGATGGTGATACATTAAATGTCTAGTTCCTCTTCAGTTATACAACATATCATCTAAAACATATTCCATTTAAGAGGAGCAGGTTGTTATTGCACCCACATTCTCCTTTTTAACCCCGTTAACATGAACGCTTTTTAATGTGATTGTTACTTTTTAGTCTAGTTGCCACCTACAGTATTGTGAACCTGTTGAGTACACCAAATTGTTATGTTACAAATGTATAGTAGGAGCATTGAGATATTGTATGTCCTTTTGGTGTCCAAGGAGGACATGAACGATTATCCCTGATGTACAACAGGTGCAGTTATGTAAGCATCTCCATGTATGTTCTATTTTTTATGTCTGCGGAAAAAAAAAGTTTAAAAAAAAATGTATAGTAGGGGTCCCCAGCACATAGAAATTGCCGGATGCTGACTTTCATATATTGGGCAATTTGCACAATTAGCATGAATTGCGTAAATTAGCATGAATTACCATTATAGCCTATGGGAACACTAGTTTAAAAACGGTCGATTTGGATAATGCTGGAGTGGTTTTGGGGGTCGTTGAGGATGCTCTCATTTTCAGGATCAAAAATGGCATTTTTAACCAGAAAATCTCCACATAGGCTATAATGCCATTCATTTGAATTAACGCAAATTATGCTAATTGTGCAAAACTGCCCAAAATATGCAAGTTAGCATCTGGCAGTTTCTCAAGTGCTGGGGACCTTAACCCTAGATTTAAATAAATTATAAAACTTTGGTTGTACTTAACATTTCCGGGTTCCCTGAGCTGGCAACTAGACTATTTCCTATGACACTTTGCCAAAGAAGCAACAAAGAACAAAAGCAGGACTGAAGAGTTACAGTGAGAAATAGCCAAATGTAATGAGTACCTCAAGTCAATGGTGTTGAGTCCGATGAGTGTGTCTGCCAGCAGCCCCGCCTCCTCTCCCAGCATGATCGCTCCGTCTTCGTAAAACCTCCTAGTCAACACACGTGCGTACATTATTGACATTGATTCAACTCCTCCAGATCTCAACAACTGATGTGTGATACTAGACATCTGGAGGGCAAGTGTAAGAAGATCTAAATGATCCGGGCCAGCATGGTAATATTGTAGATTAACTTCCTAAATACACTTGATTTGATAGTATGTCATTATATGGTTGAAGGGGAAACAGTGTGGACAGTGTGTGAACAGCACATTAAGACCTGGTGGTTTTGAAGTCCCTCAGTGCAGATGAGATGTATTCTGATAATCTTTTCTCCATCAGGACCACTCTGATCCACGCCCTGCCCTGCAGAGAGAGATGAGCTGTTAGTGGACGCTCAAACAGTTCATGACCTGAGAGAGTGTTTGTGTGTCTTGTTCTCACCTACAGCCCCATTGTAGAACAATATTAGCTCCAGTTGTTTGTTCCCTTTCCCACAGGGTTAGACTGAGTCATGTTTTATGTGCATTGGTGTTCTTAACATTTATTTCCCTTTCCTTGTTAGCTTACTGAGTGGATAAATCAAAAGAAAGCTAAAATAACAGCTCCTGCTTGTGCAGTATGTGTGTGCTGTATCTCAGGATACTGTAGAAGATGCAGCGCTGCTTATATAAAACTGATCATGCTTGTATATTTTACATTTTCTGCTTAATTACACTTTTTCTAACCTAACGCTCTGTTTGAATTCACTTTCTGATGTTGTGAAGATTCAAGTTTTTTTTCTTTCCTGCTGCCCTGAGTAATTAAATCTGATCTCAAGATTTTTCTTATACTCACTTTAGCTCTCGATGATCGCACATTCTCCATACTCTCGATGCTTCGGATGCAATTATGAGGGACTTTGCTGCAGGCGGATTTGATGTAATCCCAGAAACTGCGAGGACTCTCGTAGCCGAACCAAGTTGTCTGACCTGAGAGAAAAAGAGACGGAGGGTTTTTTCATAAGCTTGCATGCATAGTGCTCTGAACTTTAAAAATGAACAAAGCTATTACGTACTTGTTATTCAAATGTCAGTGGATACAGTTTTATATTTTCTTGAACAGAACAAATAAATTGAAGTGACATAAATAACATGAAGTTTGCATCTTTTTGGAAGTCAAATATTTGTCTTTAACAGGCCAGTATGTATACACCAGCGTCCATATTTGACAATCATCTTAAATAAAGACGAGTCCGACTGCTGATCATTTCCTGCTAAGGACCATCATCACATGTTATATCTCTTTCCGTTTCCCTTACCTCAAATCAACTGTCAAATACATCAAAGTAATGTTGAATTATGCAGTTTAAACATAACACTATGTGTAGGTAAATTACCTTCATGTCGATGAGAAGAGAATTGCTTACGTTTTTTACCTTTGAGTCGGTGACTGAGGATGTGCTCCAGGATGGAAACAAAGTTAACGAACTCTGGAGATGTGTCGTCTATCGTATCAAAACAGGAGCGGTCCAGCAAAGTCTTCACTGAAAACCTGAAAACAAAAATCAGAGGCACATGGTGGTATTGAAATTAGTTATTGGGCCTGTAGCCTAAAGGTCAACTTCATAGAGATTTACAATGAGGTAAGGTCTAAAGAAAATACTCTGCTGGTAGAATTTGGGGAATTGTAGGATCCAGTGTATTTGTTACACATACTGAACATTCTGAATACTTTCGCCCCTGTTGCTTCAGTTAATACCCTTTTTTTATTTTTAGAAATCCGTCTATTGTTAGTCCTTAAACCTTATGGAAGTGTAAGCATCCCATTAAATATGTAATGGATCTATCCCCATTTTCATTTTTCTACACTTACATGTAAGTGCCGCAATGACAAAATGCTTTCTGTGTTGCCGTCCGATCGCAGACTGAATGATGTGAAAAAATATGACACACTCACACTGATAATGCACATTTGAACACGTAATAACCAACAAACAAAAATAAGAAGTATCTAAAGCAATGTAAAAGACAATGTGAAGTTACTTTTAATATTTCAAGAAACATATACAAAACACATCTGGCCTTATATAGCTGTAATGAGGGTTGCATTAATATCCTGTGATGATATCAGCATTATGTTCTGCCCACTGTGACATGTCTGTGCACCGACAGTCTGTATAATTTGGTTTAAATCTCATTCAACTGATGAGACAGGAAGGAGAGTTAATCGACAAGGCTGCAGTGTGTGTGTGTGTGTGTGTGTGTGTGTGTGTGTGTGTGTGTGTGTGTGTGTGTGTGTGTGTGTGTGTGTGTGTGTGTGTGTGTGTGTGTGTGTGTGTGTGTTACAAAATCTGCCAAATGAAAGTAGCCCTTAACGT